GCCCTCAGAACCCATCAGAAGGGGAGAAGCAGTTTCATCAGGGCAGGTGGTGCCATGTGTCATTGGGGCCAACCATCCCATTGTCATTTTATAAGTTACTTTCAAATTGATAGTGTTTCATTTTCCATAACTCATTGGTTCACTGAAGTTACACCATTAGGGAGGCAGGGCAAGGTTTATTATTTCCACTTACAAATGGTAGGAGTGGACTTCATTGCTCAACTTTCTGTTCAGTGCACCCCCCTCCTTGTACTCATTTCTCTGAGTCACAATTGTGCATAGTTGTTTGCACAGTGACTCTGCTTTCTAGATCCTCCTGGTCCAGGACATGCTCATCTTCACAGTCTATCCTGAACTATTGACCTCCTACTTTTCCACATTAAGCTTCCCAAGCTGCTCATGCCCTGCCCAGCAATCCTGCACTTGTGAAGCATAGCCATCTCCCCAGCCAGAAGAGACAGTGGCTCTCAGGTCCTGTGTCCTGAACTGGTGACCTCCATCCTTTGTGCTGCACCTCCTGACCACCATGTGTATACCAATTCCCTGATGAACCAGCGCCTTCGTCCTGTCATGCACAGTGCTGGGCACGTGGTAGGCACCGAGCAATTGTTTACTGAATGAATCCATGAATATGCTTTGTCCAGATGAATTGTTTTAAAATCATTTTTATCAAAAGAAAACCCAGTATAGCAAAGCACATAGAATAAATGTATGGGCTAATGAATTATTACTAGGTGAGCCCACTTGTAACCACCAGCCAGTTGAAAAATAACTTTGCCACCCACTGCCCAGGTTCCTCCATGTACCCCATCTCCACCCTCTTGTAAGTAACGACTGTCCTGGCATGTGTGGAAACTTCTTTTTTGCATTTATGTTTCTGTCACTCATATGAGCATCCCCTGGGTACTATAAGTTAGTCTAGCACATTTAAAAAATGTTTATATAGGTTTTAAGTTGCATTTAGTCACTAGATTCCCCCTGTCCTTTCTGTTTCTTTTTATTCATCTGTGATGAACCTATGCCTTTGACCTGCAGAATTTCCCACAATTTGGCTTTGCTGATTGCATCCTCATGCCAGGCTGTTAAAGGCACAGGGTGTCTGCCTGTTTTTCTTCCTGAGTTAGCCACTGTTGATGCTTCATACCTATACCCATGAATTCACTGGACATAGCAAAATTGTGATACTCTGATTCTGTCCTTTGTTTCCTTTATCAGTCAGAATACATTTATAAAAAGAGGTTTCTCTTCATCTGTCTAGTGGGATGGCAGGATAACAGTCCTTTCCCCTTACTTACCAGTTTGCAAGATAACAAAGTGGTTTGCTCACATCCTCTGAGGATAATAAGTTCTTTTTTCCTTTTTAATATCATGATGAACTCATGGATTTAAACATATTTGATAGAGTTCAAGCCACTGTGATTATTATATTTAATAAAGTTCAAATTGTTCATTCTTTGGTGAGTGGGAGCTTCTTCAGGTTGGCTCCTGAGTCCTTTTGACATGACCCTATGGCACCATTTCATTGTATACAGCTTCATCTGGGTATTGGCTGACTGCGTTTGGGGGTCTCTGTCACATGTCTGCCACATGTCTGCCACTTCTGCAAGCCCATAAACCTGGTGGGATAGGGCTATACATGGCCTCCAGTTCCACCTAGTTAGCAAAGAGCTCCAAGAACACATCATTTCTGCTGTTGCATAATCACAACTCTTAGGTAAAGACTGAAAAACCTGAGGGAGGGCATGCTGGGGAGTTCACATGAAGATTATGCTGCATCCTATTCAGGGTCCTGGGTGACTGTTCTTTTTTCCTTCTCTGCCTTCCAGCCCTGATGAACTACCTGCACTTACACAAAGCTTCATGCTCCTCCATCTCAATGCCTCTTTTGTGCTGGTTTCAGACTATCAGTAACCATGTTGCGACTAGACCAACCCTTGTGGTTGTTACCCTGATTGCAGATTCCCTTCAGCCACAACCATCAGGAAACTTTGAAAAAATAAAGGTTTATTACTTACAAGACCTGGAGATTACACAGCACCGCTGGGCCTGCACAGCCAGCTTGCGGGTAGAGAGTGAGGGTGTGGGGTGGGGATGGGGGGGTGTTCTGTTGTTTTGTGGGTCAAGGGTGGGGGCCTAGGGTTTTGAGGGCTCACTCCTCTTTGGTGAAATGAAGACATAAGGCAGGAAGAGACAAAAGCAGTGGGCAAAAGGGTGAGTTATCAACATCTGCCAAGGTCTCTAAAACAAAGTTGCTCATCATCTGGTATCTAGTTGCATGCATGGTAGGCAGTGTGTTCATTGAGATAGCGTCTTTGAAGTGGATGCTGAGGCAATCAAAGCTTAAGTCAGGCACATTACAACAAAGAAACAAATAACTGTCAGCGCAGCTTCCTGGGCCCTTCTTCAGTCTCAGCTTAGCCATCACTTCCTTGGGGAAGCTTCTGCAGGCCAACCCTCTTGTGTGCTCCCATGGTGTTTTGGCTTTTCCTTGTCATACCACTGATCTCACCAACCACACTTTTCTGTTTATCCATCTGCCCACTTCCCCTGCTACCCAGGAGACTCTGAGTGACAAGGCCAGTGGCTGCACAGTGACTGGCACATTTGTAGGCTATCAACCCCTTCTCTTAGCTCCATCTTCTGGCTGGCTGCATGGTGACTCTTGGTTACTTTACCCCCCAACACTGTTACTAAAGGATGAGAAATCTGTTTCCATAAAACTAAGAATAGTTAACTTGAAACTTTTTTCTTCCCTCAGTTTGACTTCCTCTTTTAGTATGATTTTTGGGAAGTACAACAAAGTTCCTCTTCACATTTCCCCACCATAGTGGCCTTTGGAAAGTTTGGGGGTACCCCATGCTCCCCATGAAGGCTTTCCTTGGTCACACATGGCCATCTTTCATGCTCCAGGCCCCTTCCCTTGGTGCACACTGTCTGGGGAACCCCAGGGCAAGGCCTCACATCCTTGTTTGCCTCAGTCATTGCCAGATGCCCAAGTTGCCCACCTCCTGTGCCCCACGGTGACACTTGAGGTGTTCTTCTCATATTTAGTGGCTCCACCCTACACAGTATCAAGTTTTTGCAACAGGAATTTATTGAATCCTTGATTTTTCTCTCCCTACTGGATCACTCCTATAAGCATAGAAACAGGCTGTTATTTCTCCTGTTTTTAAGACTTAATCACACTGTTTTGTCCCCCTTCCAGGTGGCCAAACCTCTCCTCAGAGCTTTACACTGTCTGTAAAGAGCCAAGCCAGGGCTTACCTGCCAGGCACCATTTCCCTCTCTCTGCCCCCTCCTTCCGATGGTGCCCCTTGCTGCAGCTTTGGGAGGACTTTTTATTCTGAGGCATGGTTGCAGGTCATTTGTGACCATTGACCTTTCTCCTCTTCAGTGCCTTAACCAGCTCTTCTGCCACAGATCTCCTGTTCCCTCTGCAGGAGGAGAGCTGAGAACCCGCCAAACAGTGGCTTTTCCTTTTCCCCGGCCTCTTCGTCAAAGCTGGTGGGCTTATAAATGTGTCAGGCGTCAATGAAGCTAGAGATACAAAGGACTTCCTGTCCCGGTGGTCACCATGCCTCCTGGCACAGCCCTGTGCTTCCTGCTGTCACACATGCCACTGCACAGGAGAGCAAACCACAGAGCTGTAAATCTCTCCATTTGCACTGGAAGAAAGCCCCTTGGCTGTGCTCAGTTCCCTACAGCAGAAAACAAGGATAGGCTCTCATTGTGGGCTGGCCAGGGGCTGGCATGGAACAGAGGGCATCTAAACCTGAGAAGACAGGAGACTTGGAGAAGGGGCTTCAGGCAGTGGCAGGGAAGTTACAGGTACTGAGGACTTCTTAGAATAATGGGGCTCTGGTCAATCCGAAATACCTGTTTCCCCAGACCTCACCTTAAGGGAGGCAGCTCATCCATTCATCTGCGGTCAGCAGCAAACATTGTAGGACCAGGGTAAGCAGGAAACTGAGGAGCCCAAAGTCCTCCTCAGTAAGTCCAGCAGCGGGATCTTGGCATCAGATTCCTTGGAGCATCATTCTTTTTTCTTTTCGGGAGTATGGACTAAGCTTTGCTTAGTCATCCACCTCAAAGCACTTGGCTCTTTCCTAGCTTCCCATTGCCCTGAGGAAAGCTCGTTTCAGTTGTTAATAGTGTTTCTCAGCTGGGCACCAAGAGCTTTAGGCAGTTCCTGACCTCCAGCCCCAGCCCCAGCCTTTCTGACAAGCAGAACACACCTGTTTTCAGATGCCCCCCTAGGTATCTCAATCCCTGGGTGAGAAAAACTGGTTTAGGGCGTGAATGCATAAATGTCTCTCCTCAGCCCCAGAGCTCTCTCCCCCTTTACAGTCACACATCTCTAGAGAACTGGCTATTTTTTTACTTCACATTTCCTTACTGATCCTTCCACCTCACTTGACTTCAAATTCACCCCTATAGCTGCTTAGCTGTGTAACCTTAAGCACATGACTTGATTTCTCTCAGCCTCAGTGTTTCCATACATAAAATGGATGTAAAAGTAGTTTTAGAGATTAAATGTTTACAGTAAAGCACTTAGAAAATGGTCTCTCACGTAGGGAATATAACCAGCTGTGCTACCCTCTTCTCTTAAATTCTCCTTGTATTTTAATCATGCTAGGCAATTTTACAGAAAGATAATCATATCAACTTCAGCTAATCATAATCCTTTCTCTGCTGCAATGTATAGGCTTTTCTTCTGGGACAGTTTTCTGGAAGTTATAGGCTTACAGAAATCTGTATTACAGGTGCTGATGGTGGGTGTGAATCCCCAGTAGGGGCTATCCTTCCAATGGCTGGATGAAGCAGGCTTGAAGATGGTGCATTAGACCCTTCATCCAAAACTGGGTGGACTTTGCATTTCATCATGAAAATGACTGACTTGCTTCTTTTCTGCTGTCCTTGTCACAAAATAGGTTCTTGGCAGAGTCTGAGAAGCAAGAGCCATTGGTCCAGTAACTCCTTGTCGAATTGCCTCTCTGCAGGCCTGGCGCAAGCGCTGGTTTATCCTCCGGCGGGGCCGCATGAGCGGCGACCCCAACGTCCTGGAGTACTACAGGAACAAGCACTCAAGCAAGCCCATCCGTGCAATAGACCTCAGCGAGTGTGCAGTGTGGAAGCACATGGGCCCTGGCTTCGTTCGGAAGGAATTTCAGAATAATTTTGTGTTCATTGTCAAGACTACGTCTCGTACATTCTATCTTGTGGCCAAGACCGAGGTAGAAATGCAGGTGTGGGTGTACAGTATCACTCAGGTCTGTAACCTCGGCCACCTGGAGGGTGGTGCAGGTGAGAGCAGAGTCGGGGCTCCTGTGTGCTGAGGGGTGGCCTGGGCTGCTGCAGGTGCCAAGCCTGCCTTGTTGAGGGTGTTCTGGCACACTAATTTGTATCCAAACTGTTCACAAAGTACATTCCAAGATTTGCTCCCTACCATTTGGTTCTAGGCTTCAGGCCCAAACGTGCCATGCACTGAGCATTACGAGTGATTTCAAAGACTTTAAAGCCACTCCATGCCTTTGCTCTCATCGACCACAGAGAATGTGTACAGTGGAAGTAAAACGGGGTGAGCACTGTCCTGTAGGGCTCTGATTTTCCCCATTTTGCTGCTGGTTTTCTAGAAATATTAAATATCACCATCTTTCAAAAAAATGTGTAGAGCTCCAGCTTTTTTGTCACCTATTGTGTTGTTTGGCAGTAGAGAATATAAAGACAGAACTTGGCTACTTATCACAGGCAGGGAAGAATTCCTTGTATCTCCCATTGGCTTACGGTCTTTGCAAGGGAAATGAGCTCTAAGTTGACTCTGGGCCGTTTCTGGGCAATGGAAGCAAATGACCCACAAGGCTCTTGTCCCTGATTCTTGCCGTTTCTCTTTTGTACATGTGTACACACACACACACACACACACACACACACACACACACACACACGCTGCCTTTTCTACAATATATACCAACTATAATTCTCCTAGGGCTGTAATTCATTCCCTTCCTGTTGTTGACCTCTGGCTTCAATGCAGCATGCCCTGATCCTCAACCTGTGGGACTTTGAATCTGATACTTTAATTCTGATTTCTTTTGTCCTCTTAGTCTAATGGACAAAACCTTACCCCTAAATCCTGTGGTCTACAGTTGCTTCAACATTTCCACCCTCACAGTCTCCTTGTCACCTGCCACAGGAATGTCCCCAGTAAACCACTAGGTGGTAGCGGAGGGTCAGAGTTGCATCTGGAGAGTGTACTTCCTGAGGACAAAGTCCTTTTCTCTTCAGGAATCAGGAAACTTACTAAGTCACATTGCTAGGCTTTTAGAACACTTCAAAGGAAATGAAATGATGGCAAGTTCTTTATCCTTGCTCCGGCAGATGAAGCTTACTTGCAAAGTTGCAGTGAATCCACCCTGGGTAGAGTCCAGCACCGTGCAGACAAGCAGAGCTCCTATAGGGGCTAACTCATCTGGCCTTCCACTTGCTCTCTGCCACCCTAGTCCCTGCCTTAGCCCACAGTAGACACATATTCATGTGTCATATAATGTGACTGCTCTGTTTTCTCCTCTTCCAGGAGTTATCCTAAAACATAGATACATGACGTACTTTCCAATATGTGAAGAGAGACAAGAGTAAGGCACCAGCTAGAAAATGGAAAGCTCGGGAATGAAGTTGGAAGGAGCCAGAAACCCCTTCTATGACCTTTATCCTTCCCTGTAACTCCCACTTAGTTCTTAGGAGGATATAAGGGCAGAATCCCCTTCATCTGAGAACGATGTCCAAAGGGCTTTCTTGTGGCTTTTCACGTAAGGTGTTTGGTTCTGTCTCCAGCAACCAGAAGTAGTCAACAACACATCACGTGTACTCTGGCCAGGAGTTCTGTTAAATACTTTTGAGTATTAGCTTGTTTTATCCCCAGACTGATTCTGTGGCACATGTACTATTAGCATCTCCACTTCACAGAGAAGAAAACTTGGAGCAGGCAGGTAACTTTCCTAAAGTCATGACAGCTAAATAATGGAACCTGGACTTGAACCCCGGCAGCTCTGGGCTGCTCTGACTCAGGAGTCCTGAACTCCCGCCAACTCGATTCAGAAGGGAAATCAAAGCAGGCTTTTCACTGAGAGTTTCTGAATGTCGTCCTCAATGAGCAATGTGGCCTTTAGCAGTAGTCACACTCCGTTTCTTTCCTTCCATTTCCTTGTACATCATTAACACTGTTCTTTATTTAGTGTTACTTGTCTCTCTCCTCTGGTAAACTGTAAATTCCAGTAAGGCAGAGACTTTTTCTTGGCTGCATTGGCAGAGTTCATTCAGTTCTGGACACATAGTAGGTGCAATAGTAGGTACTGTGTACAGGCATACTTATCTGTATATGCACAGATGTGTATATAAGTATATATATATATATATAGTCATCATACATAAATGTGTGTGTGTAGTGAGTGAATCAGCAGTGATGCAGGGCTGCGGCTGAGGGCCAGAAAGAAGCTGTGTGTAGACTACTTAACTACAGATTTTTAGGCCAAGTATGCTTGGGTTTTTTTTACTCTTAATTGATTCAACACTTCACTCTTGGAACATGGGCTTTCTTTCCCAGACATTGTTTATAGCTTGGGGAAATGGTCTCCTCTATCAGTACAAACACCAGCTGTGGTTTGCATCTTGTATTTGGCTTCTTAGATGCTGTTTGAGAAATTGTGAGTGAGTGTTACAGCCATTCTTAAACATGAACCTGGGAAATGATTTCTCCAGCAGATTCCATGGAGAGCTGCTCTTGCATGGCATCCTCCCTGCAGCCATCCCCCGCCAGCTGCCTTCATACCAGCCCTGCTGTCAGCTCCTCCTCATCTGGAGATGACCCAGGGACTAATACCACAGTCACTGAGGAAAGGAGAAGTGAGTCAGAGTTCCTCTCCCTTCCTGATTACATGATTCTGTCCAACTGTGAGACTGGAAGACCACGCCAGGCCAGGTATGCTGCCTCTTCTTGTGGGCTCTGTCACAGGATGTAGCTTCTTCTGGTGGGTGTGTCTGTCCTCACTTCTCCTCCTGGCCCTGCAAAGGCAGGACAGATCACTGAACCACTGTGACGGTGAAGCATGTGGTGTGCTAAACACAATGACTCAGGCACTTCAGCCTTGTGGCTTTCATTTCTAACCTTGCATTTTCATATGTATCTAACATTTGTAGGATGACAGAAATCAACAAACCATTTTTTTCCCCTGCATCCAAGGGTTGGTGTAATGTAATGGGGAGTTGTAGAGGGTTGGAGACAGAAAACAGGTGATATCAGAGGAGTAGGAATGAGGCTGTGGTGAGTATGTATCCATCAAAGTCACATGCTTTTCTTCCCTCAGTCTACCCACCAGATGTGATAGCTGGTCCAACTCAGACCGCTCGTTGGAACAGGCTTCCTTCGATGACGTTTTTGTTGACTGCCTGCAGCCCCTGCCCTCTAGTACCTTGGTCCATGCCTCACGCCTTGGGAATGGATCTCAGGAGGCACCTCCCATGAGGCCTCAGGCTGCCCCGATCTGGAGTAGAGATATCAGTGGGCCATCCATGGACCGCTTTTCTTCACCATTGCTGGAAACTTCCTTAAATTCCACCATTCACGTAGATAAAAACCAAGGTTCCTTGCCCTATGGGGTAAAAGAAGTAGACATCATGTTCAACACGCCACCTCCCCGCCCCCCTAAGCCAAGCTATCTCTCTGAACGGTGCCAAGAGGAGCAGCACATGTGGAGTGGGCACAGCAGCATCCAGAAGGCAGAATGCACTGCGGCACAGAGAAGAATCTCTCTTTCTGGTTTAGATAATGTGCCAACCTGGAAAGGTAAGTGTTGGACGCTGAAATTCAGGTGCAGAGAAAGCCTTGCTCCTCTTCCCTCCTAGTGTTGCCATTGCCCAGTGTTCCTTGCTCAAGACGGCCCAGTCTCCCAAGGTCCCCCTCCTTCTTTGACTCTGGCCACCAAGGAGAGATACTTAGGTCCTTGTAGATGCTGAAAGGGTTGCAGCCCTGGTCTCATGGCCGTGCCCCTACCACATGATGGGCTGGCTCCCCCGTTGAGACTAAGCTCCTGAGGTTTGTTTGGAGTCGCTTGGGGACCCACTTGGTACAAAATCAGCTTGGCCTAATTGTGGTCTTTGCCTCACACATGCATAGTGAGACCTGAGCTCTTTTCTTCTAGTTTTCAACAATCCCATCAGCCTCATTAAGCATCCCACGTGATACGCTCTTTCTGCATCCTAACTGGCTGCACACTAGCTAACTCAGCCCTGTCAGCCCTGTCAGTCCCTGCACATGCCCTCCTGGAGCCCTCTTTCACTCATTCCCACAGAGTTGTCTTGCTATCTCCCTTCCTCCGCATCTCCCACCCAGACATACTCACTCCCACACTGCTACCTACACAGCCACATTTTAAAGGAATTAAGGGAGTTTAAAGAATGCAGTCATTTCAAATTATATAAATTTCTCCTTCTGACTGAGGAACTAAGTTCCCTGGAAATGTGATCATTACAACTTCAATGAAATGAGTACAACTGACCCTTGAACAAGGTGGGGGTTAGGGGCACTGACCCCCCATCCAGTAAAAAAATCCACATAGAACTTTTGACTCCTACCAGTAGCCCACTGTTGACCCGAAGCCTTACTGATAACAAATGATCAATTAACACATATTGTTTGTCTGGTGTATATATTATATATTCAGATTTTCTATTTTTGTTGCGCTCCTTTTGGTAAATTATATTTTTCTAGGAATTTGTCCATTTCACCTTTTCTTTCAAATTCATTGATATAATTCAATTATAAAATTGATTATAATAGCCTCTTGTTATCTGGAGGATCTGTACTAATCCCCTCCTTTTCATTTCTGATATTGATAATGTGGGCCTTCTCTCTGTTTTTCTTAATCAGTCTTGCTGGGGGTTCATCAATTTTATTAGTTTTTTTCCAGAAAACAAATTGGCCTTTGCTTATTTTTTTTTCCATTGGATATTATTTCCTTCCTTCTGCTTCAGGGGTCATCAAACTGTGGCCTATGGCCAAATCCAACCAACAGCCTGTTTTTTAACAGTCCACAGCCCACCAAACTAAGAAAAGTTTTTCCACTTTGAAAAGGTTTGTAAAAAAAAAAAAAAACCTATCTCACCCTGTCCAGAAAGTTTCCTGACCCCTGTTATACTTACTTCCTTAGAGATGATTTGCATGTTTTTCTAAAATCTTTTAATGGATTGGTGGCATATTAAATTTCTTCCTTTCTTCTTTATGTAACATACATTTAATGCTACAGATTTTCTATAAACACTGTCTTAGCCACATCCTTTAAGTTTTCGATATTGTATTTTTATTATCATTCAGTTCAGAATATTTTCTGATTTTCATTGTGGTGTTTTCTTTGACCCATGCATTATTTAAAAAAGCATTTCTTAATTTCTGAACCTGAGAATTTCCTATTAATTTTTTTTGTCTTAGTTTATTCTATATGATATTAATATAGCTGTGCCTATATTAAATACTAAATACTAACAATAAATACTAGCCAGCATTCTTTTGGTTAGTATTTTCATGGTACATATCTTCTCATCTTTTGACTTTCACCTTTTCTATACTCATATTTTAGGTACAGTTCTTATAAAAATCATATAGCCATATTTTCTTGTGGTTATTTTAATTTTTTAGTCTATTCTGATAGTCTTTCTTTTCACTGGAAAGGTTAATCCATGTACAGTAATTAGACTCTTTTACCAATTATTTTGTGATTTCTATTTGTCCTGTTTATGCAAATTTTCTTATTTATAATCTCATTCCTTGCTTTCTTCCGAATTGAGTTCACTTTCTTATTTCAGTTTTAACCTCTGGTAATTTGGAAGTTAAACATTCCATTTCCATTTCTTTAGTGTTTACCATCTACATTTTACCATGCATTTTCAACTTAATATCCAAGATTATTCAGTATCATTACTCTTTCATATCATACAAAGACCTTAGAATGATTTTGATCTAATAACCTCTCAACTTAATATGCTAATACCATATAGTATTTTACTTCAATCTTGATTTTTAAAATCCTATCAGGTAAACAATATTGGTATTATTTTGTACAATTTTTTCTAGTTTCACTCACACTATTTTTCTATTTTATCATTGCTTCTAGCATCTCTTAATTTCCTTCTGGGATTATTTTAGTTCTTTTTGTGGCTTATTCTTTAAGATTTCCTTTAATAAAGGTCTGTTGTTGGTAAATTCTGTCAGATTCCATTTGTCTAAAGGTGACTTTTTAAAACATTTTCTTGAAAGATAACTTACTGGATATAGAATCCTAGTCTGATGGTTATTTTTGCTCAGCTCTTTGAAGATCTCATTCTACTTGTTTTAATTGTTATTGTTAGTCTCTTTAGGAATGTCTCTTACAAAGGAATTCTTTTTCCTCTTGTTTCTAAGAATCTTATCTTTGTTATTCTTTAATTTCTGTAAAATGTGTTCATGTATAAATTTGTCTTGTGAATCATTGGGCTTCCCGAATTCGAAGACCAATGTCCTTCAACATTTCTGGAAAAATCTAAGCCATTATGTCTTCAAACATTGCCTCTTCTCCATTATCCGTATTTTTCCTCTGGGGCCCCAGTTTTATGTATTTTAGACTTTGCATTCTATTTTGCGTGTTAGATTCTCTTAGACAGTTTTCATCTTTGTCCTGAATTCTAGTAATATCAGTTTTTGAAATATCTCTTCATCTGGGCCTAATGTACTAACATAACTTATATTTTGAGTTTAAGCTTCATTTAATTTTGAAATATATATTTTTATTTCAAAGCCATGTTTATAAAAAGGTATACAGTATTCACTTCGGCAGCGCACAGGCTTAGATCAGCATGGGCCCTGCACGATGACATGCAAATTCGTGAAGCATTTCATGTTTTTTCTTTTGTAATGTTTATGAGTAGGGAAACTCATGGATATTCAAGAAAACGTGGCTACATAGTCTTCTGCTTTTTAATGCAAATAGCATTCTTACACTATACTGTTCGCTTTTGCTCTTAAGCATTACTACAAATACTATATAGCTTTTGATCCAGCAATTTCACCACTAGGTTTAATGTTGCTATTAATGCTTGATATGCAATTTTGAACACGGGCTGTGTAGTATTTGAAATTTTGGTAGATGGTGTAAATTGGTTCAACTCCTGTAAATTTTGGCTTTGCAAGTGCTTAACACATTTAAAAAATGACATTTACATGGTTGGTGATTGAAAAATTCTATGTGAAGAGATTGGTATTAGCCTAAATGTTGATCAGTAGTAGAGAAATGGTTAAATAAATCCTCTATCCACCCACCCAATGGGATGGTTCATACCTATAAAAAAGAATCAGATGGTTCTCTATGTATATTAGCCGATAGTATATCAGTGTCAAATTCGTTGAATTTGATAAAAGCACTGTGGTTATATGATGGAATGTCCTTACTCTACAGATGTACACGCTGAAAGATTTTGGATTGAAGGGTTCTGATGGCTGCAACTTACTCTCCATGGTTCAGAAAAAATATACACATACAAATGCACACAGATGAAAACATTTATAGCAGCTTTTACATTGTGAGAAACACACTCACTGGTCCATATTCAATAAATGGACACGGAGACAAAGAGAACAGCGGAGCGAGGCTTTAATGACAGTCTTGCAAAATCGGGGGTCTGGTGGGCAGGCACACCTGGGTGTTTGGTGCCAATAATTTATCTCCTAGTATGCGAGTCCGTCCCCTGGTTCCTCACTGGCTGACTACTACAGGGTTCACATTCTTTCCCAGACCTCGCCTAAGCCAGTTATATCTTTTTTACATTTGTCTTAATTTTATTAGGTTTAAAAAACTCAAACAGGTATTGCCAGGCCCTTATCAATTCCCCCACCCCCACTCTCAGCCCCAGCAGCTTCCACCACGTGGCCCTTTGTTAATACCTTACTATTAAAATGTTTAAACATCCTAGTGGGAATAAATCACATTTAGGTTTTATACTCTTTCCTAACAGTTCCCCCCTCTTTTTATTTAAGAATTTCTGATTTTATTCCCAGTAATGTTTTTTAATTTACGCTTGGTCCTTTCTCAAATTTCTCTAATCTTGTTTATGGCTGCCTCTATAAGCTTTTGAGTCAAGGCTCTCACACAAGGAATGATACAGCATCTACAGCAGTTAAAACTCTCGCAACTATAACAAGGGATGTTAAAACAGAGGCAACCATTATCTTTCTATTTTTTTAAAACTATCTTTATTTTTTTTTAAACTATCTTTCCAGCCAGTCTATGAAAGGGTCACTGGTGCCAGTTTCCAGCTAATTCATTAGCTAAAGTGGTGCCTTGTAATGATCTACAACTTCTATGAAAAAAATTTTTTTCATTGGGTGTGGAAATGCCAGGGTAAATGGAAGGGCCAATTGGACTAAAGCCCAAGTCCCAGTCCAGGTGGGTGGCAACAAGTAGCGCAGGTTCTCCTTTCTACAGTACCACCAAACAGCCGGCTCGGGGGATGCGTAATTTCGAGAGAGAAGTTGCCCTCTTTAGAGACATTTAGGACGTGGGTACAAGTCGGTAGTTCCCCGCAGGGGTTCTGAAACCTTCCCCTTGCCTGAGAGGCACGAGGAGTGATTCATCTTCCCTATAGAAAAAGAGGGGATTGCCCTCGGGTCTGACTTCTTTAGGGCATGAAAGAGTAAAGACAAGCCCTTGCAAGTCTCATTTCCCCAAGCGTCCTTGTCCTGGTGCAGGGCCAACATGCAGTTCATCTCAGTGGGGTCTGTGTCCCAGCAGGGGAATGGGACCACCTGTGCCTGTGGTC